TAATTTTAACAAATAGTTATATAAAATAAAATCAAATTCATACAATATAATGTAAAATACAAAAAAAAAAAAAAACTATTCAAAGTCAATAGATATCTCAAATGATTCATAGCCATATGACTCATGCCAAAAAATTCGAATAACATATATTGCAATTTCTATCTTACAAATATAATATAATATAGATTATAATCAAATAGCATATAGATAACAACTCTCAAAAATTAGATAAAGCTCAATTTTTCTTTTTCTTTTTTTAGTTTTTCAATTTCAAGTGTTAATTTTCGATCTTAGCCAAAATAATGTTCATTGAATATTTTGAATTTTGATTTGATTGGGTCTTTCTCTCGTATTGACGTTTAAAAAATAAAAATAAAAAATTATTAGTGGCTTTAAATCACCATATTCGACCTTTTTTTACATTATTATCCATGTAGCTTAGAAGTGTTTGTAAAAACGAGTGATGTTGAGTTTCGCAATTTCCTCAAATTCATTTAAGATCATATGAAACTTTAGGAATAAGAATTAAGTATCCAAACCATGCACAATAGGGGCAAAGAATTAAGGATTCAAACTACACGCAACAGGGAAAAACCTATGATTATCCTTGTATTATCATGAATTAACTTCTCCAAACAGTTTTCGTTGAAGAATTTTATTGCACATTTCATTCAAGATGAGTAGAAAATTATGTCACAACATTGATACTATTGGTAAGATGGTAAATCTTTGGAAGTTCATGAGGAATAATGTTATCATATAGATGTACCGTGAAAACATTCACAAATTAACATGAACATTCATAGTGGTGCTGGTGCTAAATTCAAATTATTGTTCTGACTTCTCCGATGATTATTATCCCATGGGTAAAGAGCTGCACCAGTATTTACAATTTTTGGATAATATAAATTCTACACATTCCACACTAATAATAACATGATAAATACAATAATCGTGCAACACACGAGACAAAGATTAGTACTATTAAGTGATTAATACATTTTGACGATGCTAGAGAAAATAAAATTGTGTGATAGAAGTACAAGAAAAATAAAAAATAAAGGAAAAGACTAAAAAAACATAAAAATTGATAAAAATTGGGATTAGTTATATGAATTATCACTGAACTTTAACCCTAAGGAGTAGTTCTGTAGTCAGACTTTGAATTTAATCCCCATGATCATCACTTTGAGTCCCCTCAAGGCCATTGAGGTGAATACCTAATTGTAAACTTCAAGGTCCCGTGCTATTAATCGAGGTGCGCGTAAACTGGCCCAAACACCTACGGTCATAAAAAAAAATTATATATATCACTAAACTTCGCGTAAAATTTCCACCGAGTCATTGAATTTTGTAATTAGTTATCTCATTCATTACTCAATTTTTAAATTGCTAATGAAGTGGATGTCAAATGGAAAATAGATTTTCACATACGCAATTTTGTCAACTATGTCAACAAATTTTTAATCGTCCGTTAAGTAAGTGATAGATGGGATTATATTTTATAAAGTTCGGTGACTTATGGGGAAACTTTTGAAGTTCAATGACCCCTAAAAACTTTACGCAAAGTTTAATGACTAATTTGGTAATTAACTCCACATGTTTGATTCCATTCTTATGTGGTTGGAAAATAAATTTTAAGCTGAAACTGTTACATAAATTTTCTTGTTTTAATCGGCAAAACAATCGAATATGCATTGATTCGAGTAAAACTCCTATCTAACCTTATTTCTAATTTTTTTTTTAAATTCATTTTCAACTACACATTTAATGAAATTCACAAATTTTTTCAACTTTTTAATTACACATTTCATAAAATTTTATCGAAATTTAGAACATAATATCATTTACATGAATAGGTTAGTAAAAATATTTGTGAAACTGATGTTTATTTGGTGGGGATTATTTTTATAATGGTAAAAGTTAATAAAGTGTGATTAGAAGATTGTAAATTTCTTGAAAATACATGGTTAAAATTAATTAATTAATTGAAAAATGAGTTCAATAAACTAAATTAATTACTGAATCTGATTTGAACTACGTAGTCAAGATCCAATTTTTTTAATCTAGAACTTAGAATCAGTATTGAACTGTCAATTCTTGATTCTAGGATTTTAATTGAAAAATC